ATATTATTTATTTGTTCACAGAATGCAGACTGCATCAATTCTCTCCATGAAGGACCTTGTTGTGTCTCACAGCCGACTTGAAGGCTGTGATCTGGCATTAATAAAGACGTCCCAGGGACTGTACCTGAAGTGGCAGTCACATGGAGGTGAAGGGAAAGCAAGTAGCACAGCAGGTGCTTTCTTGACAGACGGCAAGGTTGGTCAATGATTCCAGTTTCTTGTTTAAAGACTGATAGGTAATGAGGATATGAGGGTATTTTAGGAAAGATGATGTCTTTACCTTGCAAAAATATAATATCTACATTACCATTTTCATAATCATCGGTGACTTTGCCTTTATCTAATAAACAATACTTATTTTGATAGTAATGTATGGTGCCTGTAATTTTTATTTTTAGGTAGAGTGCACCAGCTGAGATTATAACATGTAAAAATTCACATGGAAATTTTTCCCTATAGCATAAAATAGAGCAAAACTTGTATGTCAAGTGTAAGATATTCTGTAACGTACAGTGGAACCAGAAGTATATAAATAATTCATTAATGTTTGGGATTTGAAGAAATTATCACGGGAAATTCATATGAGGAGAGGTCATGAGATAAATCAAACAAACAAACATATATACGTATATACAAATACATATTTACATACATACATATATTATGTCTATATTGTATATATATAAAGAAAAAAGGATGACCTGTGTTCATTACAACAATTGGAGAAAAGGTATGAATGAGAATGAATATCTCCACAGTTCTAGAGATGTATTCTAGTGGTTTCGATTATATCTTTGTTGGAAATACTTGTATTTTTGACAAAGACATAATCAAAACTGGTAAACTACATCTCTTGCACTGTGAAGATACTGATTTTAATTCATACCTTTTGTGTACAAGAAAGAAAGAATTATAGATGAACAGATAGGTAGATACATACAAACATACATACATTTAATCTGCACTCTTTACAAATTCATATGCAAGGATTAAGTATCACAGAAAAAAAAGCTTTATTCAAATTCAAACAGGCAAGATAGAGCTTGGACTGATCAGTAAGATCTGAAGCTTGATGGCTGTTGCTAGAGTGATGATAACACAGAGACCCACGGTGATCTTTTGATGCTGCATCATTTAGATTACCACCAATATCATAGCCATTGATAGGGTTTATGATTTTATATCTCAATTGTGTAAATCAGGAGCTAGCCACTGATAACAAAATTAGCTAGAATTGATAAAGAAGTAGGAAAGAATGATCAATAAAAGATTTTACATTTCTGGATACTGCTTATAACATTCAGCCATACAGATTTAAGTATGTTATTGTGTATTTGAATGACTTTCCTTTTAATTTGAAGATGTGTATTACTTACAAGAGAAGCACTTGCTTTTTTGCAACATTTATTGCAGTCAGATAATTCTAGATTTTACGAAGAAAAGAAAAGGAAAAATATACTCAAAGATCAATTAGTGAAGTGTTTTTGTTAAAACTATTTTATCTGAATAAGGCAGAAGCTTATTTTTTTTTCATCTTTCAGACATGCGGAAATCTATACCCTGTCAGATTAAATGATAAAGTGGAGAAAGCAGTATTTGGTACCAGTGACAGCAGCACCAGTGCACAGAGAGGACCTAAACATGCTTTGGTTATGTGTGATACAGGACTCATTGTCGGTGTCAGAGCAAGGGAGCCTGGTGTGGTTTTCTCCTTGTGCCATATTGCAGAGCCACCAGTATGGTGTGGTACTTTGAAGGGTATGTCTTACACATAATTGTATGTCAGAATATATGATCAACTAATTGTTTCCTTTATGTTTATTTTAGAAGTACCATCATTGATTATAACTAAAGAATATTTTAGTCTATCAACTGGTGAATGAAAATATACAGTAGAGTGAATCTTTCTGATCTGAAAAACAATTGATCCAAATTGTTCTTAGAATGGAAGCCATTTTGGATATAGATCCTATTCCTGCCCTCCCTGACTGGCAGCACAGGATATATTACAGAAAATTGAATAATGAAAAATATTAAAAATGATAACTAACATAATATCACTTCTTGTGATTCTGCTGTACATAAATGTAAACTGCCTTGAGAGATGATATGGAGTCTGCTCAATTAAAACAGTCTATTACCATCTTAACCCAATGCCAACAGGCATGACGTGTACAATGTGCTATGCCCACTATGAGCTGATGAAAAAAAATAAGCTTCACATTTACTATAATTTTTAAGTATCGTATCATATACAGTTTTGTAATACGCCCCAGCCACACAAAATATAATGATCATTGGAATAATAATGATGATAACAATAATAACAACTATGATTGTTTTTACACATAGATGGCTACACTTGTACTAAGTCACCAATGAGCCAGTTACAAGTACTGCCTGTCTCGCCTGTTTACCCTTTTCTTTGACTTACAAAAATAGTTTACGTTATCTTATTTTTCTATTACTAATGTTTTTAACATTATAGTAATTATAATGTTTATAATAGAAATAACACCATCGATATTCATAGCACTAGTAAAAAATACGTTTTTCCTGCCAATTCAAATCACGAAAGGTCACAAGTTCTACTAATTGACTCCTTTGTGGCTAAGCACTAACAGAGCCATCTATGTGCAGAGACATTTCACAAAAATAATAGAAAATGAGTGCAGCATTTTCCCCATTTTTTTATTAATTTTTCCCAGTGGCATTGGGTTAATACTGCTTAACAAATATCAGATATATATTGAAGTTGGAAAATGCCAAAAAAGCAAAAAGTGCTTTTGAAGGAAAAGAGAGACAATGAGTCTTGATACTGCATACAAGTGTTCATGTAGACTGGACCTAAAAGCCACACACCCAAGTGAGTCACCACTCAAATAAGCCTAATGCCCAGATCCAATGTGTTAATAGTATTCAAAAAAAAGAAAAAAAAAAAAAAAAAATCAAAGAATGGGGAAATCAGGTGAAGTCACATAAGGTCTAGTAATTATTCTTTTGTAGTATCCACTTGCCATTAGTGTGCAGTGTAGATGAAACAACAGTGGACAGTACATGTGCCTGTTGCCAATGATTAAGATATTAAGAAAAAAAAAAAGATGCATTGGTAACTGCTGCTTATTTTTTGAAAATATTCATGATTAATTGTTAAGATTGGATATAGGTGCCTGTATTTTTTCATAGATTTTGTACTGAGTGGAAACTTGTTGACAGAAGCTTTTGGATATGGTATCTTGGTACACCCAGTATAAGGTATAGTTATATAGGCCAAGTAACTGTATCCCGTGTGTGGGATATTGAAAAGAGAAAAAAGAAAACATGAAAGTTTCTGCATATTAAATTCAGTTTTGTTGTATAAACTTGCTTTTTCTCTACTTGTTTACAAATTGCATTTAAGAATATTAATCTTCCTTTACAAGTTAAGGAAGATATATATGTCTCTTTATACTATCATCTCTTTTCCAGATTTTAAGAATATAGGGAAAGAAAAAAAAATATCTGGAAAAATATTGGTACCATGAGTTATGACTTATTTATTTATATATTTATTTAGTTATTGATATACATATATATCAATATATGCCTATATACATACATGTATCATATATTCCTATTTATATATTTTTTTTCTTTTTAGCTGGAGATACTATGCTACTTGCTGTTGTTGGCAAAAGTGGAACAGTCTACACTGGTCAAGCAAATGGATCATCAGAAATTTCATGGTTTACCAAATCCCTCCCAAATATGGTGCTGAGTTGTTGTGCCTATAATGATGCATTTGTTCTCTGTGATGGATTCAGCTCTTGGATATGCCATCTCTCTCTTGATTCAAGACAGCTTCCAGAGTTTAGACTTCGTAAACTACCATATGTGGGCATCATTAGAATTATGGAAAGGGATAAGGACACCGTGGAATTGGTAACATGTGACGGACGAAAATATAATGTCACTTGGAGTTCACTGATTTCCAAGAGCAAAGAAGAGGCAAAAAGTGATACAAAATTGAAAAATGACAGTGCCCCATCAACCATCAAGGAAACTATGATGGGGATCAAGAAATGTTCTGAGAGAATGGAAGTGGAAGGTAAACATATTCACAATCTAAATCTCTACATAAAACAGTTGAATATATTATCATTCCTTTTAACTGATTCAAAAGAATGTATGTTTTCAGCAAGTGTTAGAGTTGAGCAACAAACTCTCGGGCAGGTGGTATCTTACAGTGCTTTGATTGAATTTACAAACAAGAAAGTTGGATATGAATTAGAGGGTAAATGGTGGGCACTGTGTGTCTCTGTTCCAACACTTAATGGCAGGCATTATGAGTTAGTCAGACTTGATAGTCACTCTTTCACACCAAACTGTATTATTACAGTTCCTTTGCGTGAAGTGGATTGGAATCAAAATGTCAAGACTGTTACGATGAAGTGTTACCTTGTATTAGATCATTTTGATATGTCTCGTCCTCTCTGCCAAGTACCAGTCTGTGAAGCAGAGGTTGATATACTACATTTCCTTACTACTCATCGGGTACTGAATAAAGGAATCTTAACCTCCCCAGGCTTTACTGAATCTATTGAGAAGTTGTCAAAAGGAAGACAAAGTAATCCAGCTGAAAGTATACAAAGCAAAGTATCTTCTCTGCCTTGTAAAGTGGCCACTTCCTTTACCTCTGATGAGAGAAATGTCTCTTTAATCAAGAACATATTCAGTACACTTGGTTGTACAATTTCCCTCAGCCCTAAAACAGAGCAAGTGAGGCTTTGGTACCACGAGCTACCACTTGATATGTACCTGAGTCAGCAAAGTGGTAAGATATTAGTAACTTTTGAGGGAACAAAGGCTTCTTTGGTTTTGTCTGCAAAATTAGCAGTAGAGAGCAGAGTAGTAAAGCAGAGATCATTTTATATTAAATTAAAATTACCACCATCAGTTCTTAGACAGGCTAGGCAGTCACACAGAATTTTGCAATTTGAGTCTTGCAAGGCTGTTACCCCTACAGCTGTCATTCATCTGCATCATATTACTACAAATGTAATGTCACTATTGCCATTATAACTGGTAAAAAAAGACTTATTATTTAATTTGATTGTTGATTATGTACCAAAAAATTACCTTCCAAATACAAATGAAAAATCTGTGATTAAAGTTTTTGATATGTTATCATTTATTAATACCCCTGATTTAGTAGTAACATCTTTATGGCCTCTTTACACTGTATTCATCTACATCTATTCATGTATTCATTCACTCACCCATCCATTCATTCATACTTTACCATCCTTCCATCTACATATCCTGTTTCATGTGTGGGACTCCCCTTCAAATGGAACTTGAGGTCTTGGATGCCCCTTTTAACCCATTGCGGCCGGGGAAAATGAATAAAAAATGGCGGAAATGCAGTACTCATTTTTTATATTTTTGTGAAATATCTCTGTCCATAGATGGCTCTGCTAGTCCTGATTTCACCTTTCCTTGAATTGGCGGGAAAAAAATGTATTTTTACTAGTCCTATAAATACAGATGGTGTTACTTTTAACAGCAAATTAGGATAACGTTAAATATTTTCGTAAATCGATGAAAAGGGTGAACGGGCGAGACAGGCAGTACTCGTAATTGGCTCATTGGATACTTAGTACAAGCGTAGCCATCTATTTGTAAAAACAATTGAACAAGTCGACTCACAGTGGGCATGGCATGTACGTACATGCCATCCCCGGCGGCAATGGGTTAACATTATGATGACCAACCATTGGGAAGTATACATGAAATCTATTGAGCCTTTTTAGTGGTAGATACATTTAGATAGGTATATGTATAAGTAAGAAATACATATAATTAGATTATTTGATTTTCTCTTCTTATTTTTTCCTTTTTAGTGATATTGTTAATCTTGGAGTGAAATGTTACATCCCCTTTTTTAAAAAATATTCAACTCATTATGGTTACCCATTATTGTAATTGCTATGATTTGCTTATTTAGATAATTGAATGCACCATTTTATGTTGTTGCTGTAAGGAGGCTTAGCAGGAGGAGACAGATCCAGTGTAGGGATCACCACTGCCTTGGACCTCAGCCCTCGCCTCAACTAATTTTACAGGGTCTTTTCTTCTCCCTCTTTCCTTTTCCTTCTCTTCTTCATCCCCTTCTTCTGTCCACTTATCTAAATCGTTATCTCATATTTACCCTTTTCACTACAATACTTTACCATAATGCTGCATAATCTTTGATGCCTGGTACATTTGTTTTTGACCATCGACCATTCTGGAAATCCACAAACATTGTCTTACTGGACCAAAAAACTTTACCTTGGGGCTTTTCCTCCAAGCCCCACCCTATCACTATGTTTTGTATACTCTGCTAATGACCTTAGATGTTGACATGGCAGAAAATTTTCATTAAAAAATTTTGATATAGATAATTTAACTGTTAAGATTTTGGTTTCCTTAAAGATATCTTTTACATTTGATAGGTGATGCAAACTGGGGGTAGGCATCTTTCCAAGAATTATTGTTTTGTTGTGCAGTCTGACATTATGATAAACTTGGGCAATGTCCTGGCCGTGTCAGCTGGGAATAATTCAGCCAAAATGCTAACGCAAGATTCCTATCAGATTAACTTGGTCTACACACTACTCTCATGCAGCATCCTACTAGTTAATGGTAGTGCACTTCACAGGAGGCATTTTTTTTTACCTTAGTCCACACCTGATACCCTGATTGACTGATTGCTGGCTTTTGAATTTGTCCAGATCATGGAAATGGAAACTGACATATTAATCCTTTTTCCACCTTATATGTTGCAGATTTCAATAATTAACTTTACATAAATATTAAATGAATAAAGAAAGACCTACAATTTGTTTTGTAGAATCCTCTCTGTTGATACACTAAATTTAGCAGGAAAACTAGACAATATATCCAGAGAAGGCATATTATATTGTGGATCCACCAAGGTCTGTTATAAACTGCCAGCACAAACCAGTTTGTGCAGTATTTTTTGCAAAGTGTCTCAGTTGAACCAAGTCTAAACTTGTGCAAACTGGTTTGCACAGGAAGTTTACCCAATTCAGCTGAGCATGTATAGGACCCTTAAAATGAAGGTCACATTGCTGTCCCTCAAACATTACCAGTTACAAATGTTATTCCAAGTAAAGAATTCTAGTTCCCAGATAAATTCTTATTTAAAAAGAGACAACACTGCACAAAACTACTAAGGTGTTTACATACCAAAAAAAAGTCGATTAGCAGCGAGTAATTTCCTTATAATCTAGTTTGTATATCAGTCATCAGGTTATTTGGTCATTTTCCTAAGTACATAAGAATTTGGATAATGGACTTTGAGGAATGGCAGTGATAGTGCTTCAGGATATTTTTGGCAGTTTATTTTCAAGAGGTTTGGACAAAAGAGAGGACTGGAATGATCCTGCACCATAAGGTATCACCCTTAAAATGATCTTGATATTCAAGATTTAGAAGACACTTAAGGCTCACTGCCTCAAACATTTCAACTCCTCGGAAAGTTCAGCAACTCGAACATCATTTTTCCTGGGCAAAGATATTGCGGTGTTCAGTAATGAGTCTGACTTTAAACTTTAAAGCCAATACCATTAGGGATTTCACTTGACAAATCATGGCTGGCGTATTGAGGTGGCCACTTTTCTATGTGCTAAAAGTAAGTTGATGTCAGCCCATGGCAGATGGACCATGCCAATTGGAAGCCCTTTGAGTCATTTGCTTATTGTAAGGTGCCGTGGAGGTACTTGTGTCTGATTCCTTAGACCATTCATGATACACCTTGCTGTAAAAGCTGTCACCCATAAAAAGTAGGGAAAGTTGTCAAAGATATCTAATTTTTGGTGGGAGAACAAAGAAAGCTGCATTGAAAATACGAAACAAAGACCCGGTGAAGGATCAACTATTTCTCCTAAAAGCTGTTCATTTATTTATTTTTCAAAGTATAGTGATTTAATTGGCTGATTACAGTTGGTTTAATGTGTGTAAAACAGGTGGATTTTTCTAGATTGTAGCCAAAAGATGTCATATTTAGCTGAAAGATCTGCCTTAAAGTGGGAGTCACTCTCTCTTGATAGCAGCGGCATCCAGCCGCCCGAGATGATAGCCACGACACTATAGCGATCCTGCAACTATCCGCCGCCGTCCTCTTTTCTCCTCTTGTTGAAGACAGCCGGTTTTTCCCACTGATCCAACACGGGCGCAGTGGAAATCAGTGGCAGAAGCCATGGCGCAGCACCGACTCGAGGATGGGAGGAGGGAAGAAGGCACAGCATCCAGCCCTGCTCTCGCTATTATGCCGACGAAGGAACATCCCCAACAGGAGTTTCAGGAGGGCCTCAAAAAGTGGCAGCTCGCACGAGAGCCGAGGCCCTCGATAGTAGGGACTCCAGATACGATAATACACATTGAGGCAACCATGGGGGAAGTCTACGAAGGAGGAAAGAAGGTCTCATGAGTTCCAGTGCGCTAAGGTCTGGGCTGACTCTGAATGCAAAGCGTAAGGCGTCCACGATGGCCGCCAGGTATAGGAGATTGTGGCGCATGCTTTGTCCTGGTGATGAAAAAGACACACCACAAATTGGAAAGACGTTCACTTGGTAATGATTGTTGTCTTGTCATTCATGAATGATTGAAACTTCTTCCAAGAGGACTGAATGGTTGATGCTCTATGTCCGGCGAGGATGTCGTCGGCTAGGGACTCAGGAAGGAGGCACTGTATAGCTAAAGCGAGAAATTCCGTGCGTGGAGACTCAATGATCTCATGAACTTCGAGTCCGGATCTGACATCAGAGCTTAATCTCCCAAAGGGATGGGACTGGGGCACCACTTGAGAAGTGTTCGGGGCCAATGCTAGGCCTCCCATTTTGGAGCTACAAGGGAAAATTGGCCTTGATACTCTCTAGTCGCTGCACTATCTACAGCATGATAGCTGTAAGAGGAGGAAAGAAGGGGTAGATGTGACGTCATTGACTCCAATCCTCCGCAAATGCGCCAGGGCCTCCCGTCCGAGTCTCAACGAAACAAAAGAGGTAAAGGAGGACCTGAGCATTCTCTCTCGACGCGAAAAGGTCGATTTGGGGTATTCCGAATCGGTGTACGGGGTGAGCAAAGAGGGAAGGCATGAGATACCACTCCACCGACGAGGACGCGAAACAAGGCGGCCGCCCACTTGTTCAGTGTCTGCTAGGTGTGCTGCTGCCGGTGAGCAAGGATAAGATTCTGACACTTTGAGTATAGTAGAGGAGCGGGAAGTACCCTGGCAGGGAATTACTGCCGTGTTGTCTGACAGTATTCGAATTGACAGGGAATGAATGGACGTCTCCCGACAGATGGCCACGGAGACTGCTCGTAACTACTTTACATTGATATGCCACTGACGTGCCATCTTACCCCAAGGACCGGAACCTTGATGGCCTAAAGAGGATGTAAAGGTGAGGGAGGAGTCCATGGTGAGGAGGAACCTAGACGATGCAGGCATAGCCACCGTGGGTATAACAAGCGCAGTTGCGGAAGTACGAGTGTGCCGCGTCCTGCAAAGGCAAACACTTTGCCACCCTCTAATATGAGACGCCGAATAGTGGAGGCGTCTTAAAGGAAGAACTTCCGCTGCATGGTTGAGTGGGCTCACGGGCGAGCGCCACCGATACTTCCTGAGTATTTCACTGGAGACCTAACCATGTTAGATTGAGAGGCAGAGGGAGATGGTAAGCACTTCCTCACTGGTTGTAGAAGCTGTGAAGGCTACATTGAGGCCGAAGGTAAAACGCGGAACTAAAATATTGTCGATCCAATGGCAAATTCTAAAAATGGTCGAAATCATGGGTGGTGGTGGTGGTGTATGTGTGTGTGTGTGTGTGTGGGGGGGGGGTTATGTGCCAATATGTGTCTTTCAAGTCAACGGAGGCTTGTGCACAGCCATTTGACAGATCAGGCCTACCTGAGCCACCGATAACATCCTGAATTTGGTGGTCTGAATATGTCTGTTGAGGCGACTGAGATCCAGCACCAAGAGTGAGTCTGTAGAGTACCATTTGGAGACCCCGAACAAACCATTCAGGTGTGCCTGCTCTATGATATTCTGATAAAGTAGTTATTTCACTTGAACTGTCAGGGAATGAGAGGGGTAAGATCTGCCATGAGGAC